CGACACCGCCCTGCCCCCAGCCGCCCCCCGGGGCCTGACAACGCCCTGCCCCCTTCCCAACTTCCCGGGGCCCGACACCGCCCTGTCCCCCAGCCGCCCCAGCCTCTCGGGGCCTGACACCATTCTGGCCCCCTCCAACAGCCGCTCCCCTCCAGGGTCGGACTCTCTGCCCTGTCCTCCCCATCAACCTTCTAGAGCCGGACACTGCCCTGATCCCCCTCGCCCTCCTGGGGCCCGGCACGGCCTTGCCCCGCAAACAACAGCCCCTCCGCTCCTCCCGCGGCGCGACACCGCCCTGTTCAGCCTTCCCCAACCTCCAGAGGTCCGTCACAACCTCCCCCCCCCCAACCCCATCATTGACCAATCCCTCCATAGCCCCCTTGCATCTCCTTCACAAAATGGTCCTATGTGCAACTTTTAACACTTTGTATTCACCCTTAAAGGCCCTGCCATCTCCTTACATCCTGCTTCCTGAATGTCCTTGGCATACCCACCCTTGTCCTTCTGCCCTCAGCCTGACCCTCTACCACCTTCCCATACACCCTCCCCTTCTTAATTGACCAATCCCTCCATAGCCCCCTTGCATCTCCTTCACAAAATGGTCCTATGTGCAACTTTTAACACTTTGTATTCACCCTTAAAGGCCCTGCCATCTCCTTACATCCTGCTTCCTGAATGTCCTTGGCATACCCACCCTTGTCCTTCTGCCCTCAGCCTGACCCTCTACCACCTTCCCATACACCCTCCCCTTCTTACACTATTAAGAACTTCAGAGACACATGAGAAAGGAGGGAAATGTTAAGTCAAATTTTTAACATTCCTTCCACTGTCTCTCTTAAAAATCAAGGTATGTAAGATAAACCAGCATCATCTCATATATATAGTAGCCCAAGCAAAATGCAGGACAATGTAGCACTTTAAAGACTAACAAGATGGTTTATTAGATGATGAGCTTTCGTGGGCCAGACCCACTTCCTCAGATCAAATAGTAGCCCAGTGTCTGAGTCTGTAATGCTGAAATGCTGGCTGTTCCCTCTGGGTGGCCTGTGCTGCATGGGTAGGAGAAGAGAAAGAGAGAGGCAGGAGGTGGAGGAAAGCTTGGGGGGGAGGCAGTAGGAGGAGGGGACACCCCCTCCCCCCCACACAGAGAGAGAGAGAGAGAGAGAGATTAGAGGCTCAGGTGAGAAGACCAACGGGGAGGAGAGACCTGAAAATCCCATTTTATGACGGGCTAATTGGTTAGTGTATATAGAGAGAGAGAGAGAGTAGCCCAGTGTCTGTGACTCTGTAACGCTGAAATGCTGGCTGTTCCCTCGTGGTGGCGCTGTTGCCTCCCTGGCTGTTCCCTCTGAGCGGCACTGTTGCCTGAGTCACGTCCTTTGCCTCCCACAGTGGCACTCAGCTGACTTCTGTGCCGCTCAGCCAGGCCACCGCGTGAGAGCAAGTGGCGCAAGCGGCCATTTGGGTTCCACGGTCCTCTGAGTAAGAGGCAGAAGGGGGAGGAGAAGACAAAGAGAATGAGAGGCAAGAGGGGGAGGAGAAGAGCGAGAGAGAGAGAGAGGCAGGAGGCTGTAGGAGGAGGAGAAAGAGAGAGAGAGAGAGAGAGACGGAGCAAGAGACCAGAGGCTTAGGAGAGAAGACCAAGGAAGTGGGGGAGAGACCTGAAAATCCCATCTTATGACGGGCTAATTGGCTAGTACAAAAATACCATTCTAAACATGATTTTATATATATGTAGCTATGGAATTTTTAAAAAATTCCTACTGTAATCCACTCCTCCGAAATTGCCTTCTCTACCTATCTTCTCTGGGTTTCTCCTGTGGATTATAAATCCTTCTAGATAAAGCCTGGCTATAGTTCTGGATCTGACACAATACTTATGCTACTGTTGGCAGTTAACAAATAATGGGTTATTGCAAAAGGGGTCAAAAGAAATATAAAAAACGTGCACCATGAAATAACAAAGTTAGTGACTTTATTTTCTGGGGGGGGAAAGAAATGTAAAAAAAATAAGGTTGCATTTTAAGGGTACCAGAAATGTTCTCTTGGTCATTCTACTGAAACAAGCAGGGCACATGTTTTATTATAAGAATGAAGCTGGGATCCTGTAATCTGATTAATGCACTTAGACCCCTATGAGAATGAAGAGCCCTATTGATTTCAATAAGACATCACTCCAGCATAAGTGTCTAACTGCCACAAGGATTTAATTACAGATTCAGGACAATATCTGACTAGAAAATAAAAATCATGTTCTGTCCACCATTTCAGACTAAGCTGTGAAGGTTGATAATGTTTCCAGGGAATCTTACATGAGACAATCTTTATGCAAAATAATTTCCAGGAAAATCTATTTTGTCCCTGAACTACAACTGCAACTACAACCGACTTTTTAACACTGAAATTATATATTACAGTGCCTACAATATTTTGATAAACATGGAAATAATCTGTTACTTATGTATGTTAGAAGCAAACAGGTATTTAATTTTTTTTCTGGAAGCTTCACAGTAAGGCATTTAAAATGTATATCTGCTTTTGATTAGTGCAGTGGAATTTTAAGGAATATTTTCAGCCTTCAGGTCAGATATTTTAAAATAACATTCTTTCAATGCTAATAATATCTGGCACAGGTAGCAATTTGAGCTTGATCCCACTATGAATCTCATGCAAGTGCAGGACTTTGCTTGCATGCAGCTCATTGCAGTTTGGGTTTTAGGTAGTTTTTGCTTTTAAGGTGCAACAAGTATTACCATAAAAACGTGGAATCCATAAAAGAATATGCATAAGTAACATAGGTCCAAAATGTAGGTTTTTTTTAACTTTTACAGAATCTGACATGAATACAGATGTTTGTTACATCTGATGAAAAAATGAAAATAGTTTTCAGTTTGAATTTAAAACTGCTACTGCTGTATTTGGAAACAGGAACATTACATCACTCAATGAGATGCTAAAAGCAAAACTGCTTGATTAGTTTTCTGTATCTTAAGCAGAGGCAAGTACAAACAGACATTGCAGATGGTAAAAAGAAAGACTAAATATTTCAGTTTTAATCAACTCAAAGTATTAATAACCAAAGTAAGGGAATTTGTTTATGCTTTTTAACCTGACAAGGTCCCTTTAAATAAGAACCTCAGCTCTTTGTAACCAAACTGATAAAATCTTTGGCCCAGGCTTACTCAAAAATATAATGGGAAATGAAACTTGCCTTTAATGTGTTTTCCAGCCTTCAGAGTAAATTTGCATAATCCAGTAATGACAGACTTCTGAGCACATTTTGTAGATTATATTTTCTCTTTTTGACATGTAAGTTTACTTTCTATTGTCACAAAAAGAAACTGCATGGAAATACAATACTAAAAATCTTAACACTGTGCTGTGAATTCATAATACAATATTGCTTGGTTCATTTGCCCTTCAAATGTCCTCTTTCAAAATGTTTACATTTTACTCTCAATAGAACAATCCAGGAAAAAATCTTGTTTAGCTGAGACTCACTGAGAGCAATAGAATAAAATGGGCTCAGAGAAAATAAGTAACTGAAATTTTCTCTTCTGAAATCCACTACCACTGGCATAAAAAGTCACATCTCAATGTTGTGATTTGATCAGACTAGTGAATTATGACACTTTTAGGTACCGTATATTTCGGCCTTTGTACAAAAAAAAAAGTTACAACTTTCAAAGAAATGACACAAAAGTCAGCTTGGCTCATCCTCTGTTGTTTCAGTCCCATTACTTAATAATGCACTGTTCATTAAATCTTAAAACTGAATCATAATTGTGGGTAAAAAATATCTGGAAAAGTTAATTCACTTGTAATTCTTCGTCCACACCAATGATAGAGAAATAACCCTAAGAAGTGCAGTTGACTCTGGGTAATCTCCACTGAAACAAATTCTCAGGACATCTTACATGTCATGGGCACATTGCCACTTCTCACCATCTGGTGCTCTTTGGGTACGTCTAGACTACATGCCTCTGTCGCCAGAGGCATGTAGATTAGGCTACCAGACATAGGAAAATGAAGCGGCGATTTAAATAATGGCCGCTTCATTTAAATTTACATGGCTGCCGCGCTGAGCCGACAAACAGCTGATCAGCTGTTTGTCGGCTCAGCGCAATAGTCTGGACGCGCGGGTGTCGACATCAAAGGTATCTGTCGACCACCCAGGTATACCTCATCCCAGGAGGCATCCCTGGGTGGTCGACAAATACCTCTGATGTCGACACCCGCGCGTCCAGACTATCGCGCTGAGTCGACAAACAGCTGATCAGCTGTTTGTCGGCTCAGCGCGGCAGCCATGTAAATTTAAATGAAGCGGCCATTATTTAAATCGCCGCTTCATTTTCCTATGTCTGGTAGCCTAATCTACATGCCTCTGGCGACAGAGGCATGTAGTCTAGACGTACCCTTTGTGTCCCAAGGGTATAGCCATAAAACTGACCACTGTTTAGAGAAATAAAGGATTTTGATCCAGGAGGGAAGAGCTGTTGTATTAAAAGGTTGAAAATAACTGTCTCCCATCAGAAAGTGGTAGTATTTCTATGGGACTCATCCCCCAACTCACAT